TGTCTGTTCCGGTCAGTCCTTTGATTTTGAAAAAGTTATCCAGTCGTTGGGAATAATTTTCAAAGGTCTCGAACGTTTCGTCATAAGTTTCGAAGGTTAGGGCTTGCGTTTGGAGGACTCGTTGAACTGATAGTTCTGGTTGCGTCTCCACTGATTGACTCTGTAATTTCTTGACGAACACATTTAGCGTTGAAATTAATTCTGTGAGTTCACTCATTTTATCCTTTTTGTCCTTGTTGCCAATTGTATTCTTCTCGCCAATTCGTTGCCAATCCCATCCTCGTCACCAATTGTTATGTTCGTGAAAATAACGATAACTCGTAAACATATATAACTAGCTTTATTAACATAAACGTAACTATGAGTGAACAACGTATCGTCGTGTCCAGGTCTAGCGGTTACAAACAACTAAAGACAGCTCGTTGAGACAAAGAACACACACAAGGTCGGAGGTGTGGGGTGACCTAAGTAGGTCAAGGGGCAATTCCCGGTAGCGGTCATCCCCTGGCAGTTTACATACATAACACTATTGTTTTGTGAGAGAGATCTATATTTCCTCCCCAGAAATAACACTTCCATTCCCAGGATTGTTAATCATCATGATTCAAACAATGAATACTAGTTGAAGAAACAAGACAAAAAAACAAGACAAAATCATCCTGAAGAAAAAGAAACAAGACAGGTGTAGTGCAGTAGCACTACACCTGTCTTGTTTCTTTTTCTTCAGGCTGATTCTCCAGGATCCCATCATTCTTTTCCTTTTCTCTAACACTTAGAGTCCTGGATATTACTATGAGAGACAGACCAAAACCATCCTTTCCAACTTCCTCTCTGTAGAAGACAGCAGATCCAACCCATGCAAAAAATTAACATACATTGGCTCAACCAATAGATCGCTTAAAAGGAGGAAAAGGAGGCTGAACACAAATACAACACATACAATAAAAAGTTCACTTCTACCCTAGCCCAGTTTGCAAGTGAACCTAGTATAACGACCAAATGGGAAGAGGTGAAGATTATTATTCCTATGCATGACAATAGCAAGCTTAGAACAGTTGAATCCATTGAAATATTTGCGCATTCCCTCAAAGAGAGTTATATCAACAGCAGAGATGCAGATTTGCTTTCCTCCGCATGGAAATCACTCTTCGATAACCCCCTAAACTAAATAGACCAACCCACCTTCACCTCTTGCAACCATTAGTGCTTTTTTACTTGTCGCATTTTTTTTCCAGTTCTGCTTTCCAAGCGTAGCACCTTTCCCATCTTTGGTTGTTCGCATGCCTTTTCTTATTATATCATTAGTTATTTAATGACGACAACATCACCTATGCTCCGTTATCAACTATGACATTATCCCTATCTTGATAGGCAAGCCTGTCACAGTCTCTAGTGCATCTTTACTTAGCATGTTTATTTTCCAATTTTTTTCCCAACTTTAGCGATTATCCCGTCATGAACTACCCACATACCTTTTATTTTTACCAAAAGAAAAAATTTAACACCCTCAGTATTGTCTAAACCTTATCATCAACGATGATGTCACTGGTAAGTTTACTGATGCCTATGTAAAAATTGTTTACTGATCAGTAATGTAAATCAGTTTACTGATCAGTAAAAATTGTTTACTGATCATAGGTATCAGTAATGTTTACTGATACCTATGTAAAAATTGACATCGTTTGAATTTCTACCAACCGACGCTCTAACAGACCTCAGTGTACCTGAAGAAGGCCAAAAACGTTCGTACTCATGTATATACGGCTAGAAACAAGTGAGAAAGGTTTTGTCTCTGTCATCTCTGTAGATGATCAAGTTACTTTGAGCCTTACTTTTTTCCTTGGGTCCTACTCAACCACCAGTTAAACCAGTTCTTCCGTAAAGGAGGTCCAACTCCAGGAAGAAACAGACAAAGAGAGAGTCTGAAGGTAGGAGTTAAATGTGAAAGGACAGAAAAGATTGAAGAAAGAATACTATGTTCTAAATATTAACCAAAATAAGGTGCACTGCCAAAGTATTGCGAATAGATTCCCCAAGCACTAAATAGCAATCAGATGTACAGGTAACCCCCGTATAACACGGTAGTTACGTTCCAAAAAATTGCCGTGTTATGCGAATCCGTGTTATACGAAACAAAGAACTAATACGAAAAGGAGGGTTAGGTTCCAAAAATTAAAAAACATGCTAGTATATTTTCATAATTAAGATAAATATCTTCATTAAAATTTTTTAAAGTGATACATATTAATATAAATTAAACAATGTTTTCTTTGTCATAACTAAAAACATTATTAATTAACCGAGAGCGTTTTCTTTTTGGCAAGTTATCCTTATCCTCTGAGCATTTTTCTGCATTATCTTCAGATCCATGCTTTACCTTTTGCAAAATGTATGTAATTTTAGATTGCTTGCTTCTAGTTAAAAGATCTTTATAAATTTCCTTATATGGTGCTAAGCACTTATGAAAAATAAAGCAAGTATGGAATAAGGGAAAAACATTCGGCAACATCAGAAGCAGAAGCGTCGCGATCTGGCAACATTGAAAAAGTTTCGAGAAGGACCACGTGTATCGACAGAAGGCGAGAAGAGAAAATTTACGTACTTCAGTACTAATAGTTCACAAAAATAATAATTTTCGTGAACTATTATTACTTAAGTATGTAAAAATTTATTACATTTCCTGTTGTTCGAGGGTTTTACCCAATTCTCGAACCGTGTCAGAGTGAATCCGTGCTATAAAAGTACCGTGTTATACGGGGGATGGTACCAATTCTCGAACCGTGTTAGAGCGAATCCGTGCTATAGAAGTGCCGTGTTATACGGGGGTTACCTGTACTGTGCTGTACATATTATATGGCAGCTAGTCTCCAAAGGTAGTCAAGAGCTTGTATGAGTCTCAATGGTAGAGCAGACCCTTTTGCTATCTAGCAAGCCCCTTAGCTTCTTAGTGGGACTCTAGCTTTTTTGTTTTATGAACAAATGAAATACATATAATGTTTCTTTATTAACAGTCTTAAAGATTTTATTTTCTGTTAGTAAAAATAAGTTAATTTTATAGAGGTAGAATCACTACAGGCCCCTAAGTTTTCTCTGGCCCCTGGAAAAAGTTTTCAGCTCTCCCTCTTAATGGCTCTGAGTTTCCAATATTTGATGTGTTTCAACATTTAGGGAAATGCATTCTTAGAGTAGATTGTTGCTAGTGACAAAATCTGTTGCTAATACTGGGAACCAGATTTCAAGTTGACAACCATGCAATATCATCTGTCTTCACCACATCCAAAGAAGTTCAAAGTCCAAGTATTATACTGGGAAGATGTCAGTGACTCCTCTTCAATTACTGTGGCCCATTGCTTCTGGACTTCAAGGAGTTAGGTGTCATCATCATTGGAACATGTTGCTGTGATATACTTAAGTAATTGTGATATGAAATTAAGGAAAAACATCTTAGTGACCTCATAAATGAGTAAATTATATGGTGCACAACAATGTGCATCTTCATGCTACTAATATCATCGAGCAGAAGTTGGGCACTGCGAGATCCTGAAGTACTTGCCATATAATCCAGATATCTTTCTATGCAATTTTCACATCTGTCCACTTCTAAGTAATTATACACTGAAAAGTTCTTGTAAGGATGATGATTTCAGTTGGATGAAAGTCTTTAACTTGATTTTTGATGGGACAATTGCCTTATGACAGCAGCAATTTTTTCTAAATTATGGAATTCACAATGTGCCTTAATGTGGTATTGTGTAGAAATAGGTAGTGTGGTCCCCATGTGGTATGGAATACAACAAAAATGAGAATATTTACTATTAAATTTATGTAGAAACAATATATATACACATATACACAGAGAAAGTTTACAAAATACAGTTCTGCACACACTTATACCCCGTTCATACTGAGCATTTCAATCTAGATTGTGATCAAGGTCGGTGACTATGTCGTAGTGTGACCTCTCTCCACAATTTCAATTTTGACTGAAATGAGGTTCAATCGTGATTGACTTGAGAGTTCTTGAAACTAGATCCAGTCATAAGTGAGATCCCACGATCCCACGTGCACAAGAAAATACAAGATGGTTGCAGAACACGTGTTGGGCTATCAACAGAGAAATAAAAATATATTTGGAGAGAAGATGGCATCTGTCTATTATTAGATATATGGCAAGAAAAAATATTTATTTCTAATCAAAACTTTCATTTTGTTTGTTGGTGTTTGTGACTTACCACATAGTTATGTCAGTTTTATCATCATGTATAATAGCCATGTTCTTCTCAAGCATACTGCCTGTGCGAACAGTTAGGCATTCGACTGGTGACAGTTACAATTGGGATTGTGGATAAATTGGATTGAAGTGAGTCATGGATTGTGTGCAAATGTAGTATTAGAGTTCTCAATAACAAAAATGCAACACACTGCACTACAGTTTGTCACAAAGTTAAACATAAAAAGAGAATATCACACAAACACACCAATATATAATTGGCTTGGGATGTTGTTCACAAGTCAGTCAATTGTTTTATCACATCCGATTAACAGACCTACAATTAATGTTCCTGATGGAAATGGATTCCAATTTCGTCCCCTATACACACACAACACACAGTTGTCAGTAAAACCACCACGCAAACAAGCAAACCTCACCACTTGACTCCTCTCTGTGCAAGGGAAGAAAGCTTTGTTCAAAACCTGGCGTGCCCTTAAGTTCCCTTCTGTGGTCATGCCAGTGTTGCTAGCTAAAATATGCACACCAATAAGAACAAAAAAAATAATATTGGAATAGCCCGAGACATAGCCAATTATTTCAGCGGCACAAAATGGAGCAAACCTACCAACCCCTATAGCTGTTGAATAAGAACTTTCTTTTTCTGATCATCCCTTTAAAATGAAGATAAAATATAAATATTTTAAAAATTATCTACAATTTTTTTAATACAATTTTATTAAATTTATTTATTAAAAACTGATAATTAAATTTCATGTATTATTTTTAGGTATAATTATTTTTATCATGTACAATATCATCATCATCCTGTTGTTTCTACCATTTTTGATACAATTGACATTCACTGCTACTTCATCTAGTCAAGATTTTACTTTTTCACAGTCTCAGTCTTTCATTCGAGTTCAACCAGACTGGCCACTGACTAGTGTTAGAGAAGTTAAATTTCATTTTAAGTAAGTTATTTTATGGCATTCACAATATTTTGTTTTCCTTTATTAAAAATTAAATTTAATTCTAAGATTAAGTTTCACAAAATCTTTCACTCTTTTTCTAGCAGTTTCTGGAAAAAAGAGTGAAATGCATAGGACATCGACTATTCTATAGATTTTTTTCTGATTATACTTATACTAGAAATTTTATTAAGATTTCAAAATTGATTCTGTTTATTAAAATACATGAAAATTAGTGTTGTTGGCTAATTTACACTGTTAATTATACTTTTAGCATGAAAATAGTTTATAAAATTCTGAAGTTTGGCTGTTTGATTTATTGTAAATGAGGAATCCGAATTGCATAATTAAGTAAATTTATTTTATTCCAAGTTTTCAAAATATTATAAAAAAACCATCATAAACAAAAATATCTTTTAGTTATAATATCAAACTTTCTTAAAAAAATATTTGACATAAATTAATAGAAATAAGGAATCTTTGGAATAAACAATATTTAAACTATAATTAATTTAATATTTTTACTTTTTGCAGAACTGTACAACCTCATGGATTACTATTGTATCATGGATTAACTAATCTTCCAGAAGCTAATTATCCACATTATGAGATGTATTTAATGCTTGAAAATGCAAGATTAAGATTCATTCATGTATTTGGTCAGGATAATACTGCTGATTCATATTATATTGGAAAAGGTAATATAATAATAATGTTTTTTTTTTTCACTTTTACTCCTTTTAGCACTCAGTCTGATCCTAACATTGATTAATCTAGATTTGGAGATGAAGAATATCAAGCAGTATAGGAAAATTAGAAAAATTAATTTTCAAGCTATAGTTGAATTTTTATAAAACACTTTAGACTCACCTTAATTTAATAGCTAGTATACTTCTTTCAGATTTCTTCAACTTTAGACTTGCTGTTGATTGACCAGTGTTATAGTTGTATTAACTGTCATTCCATTCTTTGATAATTTGTATTTAGCATGTGGAATAGGGAGTGTGTATATAATACATATGTATACAACTACTTTTCATAAGTTTGTCATGTTGCAAAAAATTCATTTTATAACATTTCAATGAACAAATTTGAAAATTAATAACGAATTATGAACACGTTTTATTTTAAAATATGAAAGAGCAATATTAAACAATATATTGAAGATCAATACATTAATACTTTAACAAAAAGTAATTATTTATTCAATTGTAACAATAACTTATTTCTAAAGTTTGGAAAGTTACAAAATCTATTTCAAAAGTTTGCTACAATTTTATTCAAAAACTAAATAAATAATAAAATTACATAGATTATAGAATTTAAAATATTACAAAGTAGTAAAAAATTTAGAAACAAAATTGAAGAAAATTACAAACATTAAGAAAAATATTAAAAAGAATTATATCATAAAATTTACTCTATGCTTTAATGTGCTGCAGAGAATTGTTGCTCTTCAATGTATTTCCTATGGAGCATTAATCCTAATTACTGTGAAAAGGCAAGCATAAAAAAAAATCAAAAACTAATTTTCTTAAGGGTGGGGTCTTTTTTCGGTGTGGAGTCCTGGACAAGTTCTCCAGTTGTTCAGCTCTAACAGTGGTACTGATTGTAATCTATCAAAACTACTTGCAATTTTTAATGCTGTAAGAGAATGAGCACATTACATCATTTGGCATGAAGTGCAGTTAATTATTTTCCTGACTATTATATATAACAGTATGTTAATTATTTTCCTGACTATTATATATAACGAGGAAAAGTATGGCAATTGGTCAAAAGATGACACCCAAAATTTTTACATTTTTGGACTTGGGACCTTGAAATTTTGAGAAATGTAAAAAAAATTCGGGTTTCTTTTTTGTATGTATGGATGTTAGTGTGTAGGGGACACACAATTTTTTTCACCTTCTTTGAAGCTTAATTCCTGTGCTTTCTGTCAAAAATTTCTGAAATTTTGCAGTATTAGAACCGAGGGGGTAGAGCATCAAGCTTCTCTCCCACTTATTGGTGGCTCTGTCAGAGGTGGTTTTACAGGAGGGCAAAAATGTGAGTGGGAAGGGATAGCGAGATTGTAACAAGATACTGGCTGTACTCAAGGATGACACAGCATTAAATATAAAAATAACGTATTTAATTATCTAAACTTATATAACAAATACAAATCAAAAAGGTTACAATAAGGGAATAATTCGTCTAATAAGACTCTAAAACTAACTAAGGTCTAATTCTAAAGACATAATATTGTCTAAGCTTAAGCTATGATCGAGAGAGCGATAAGAAACAAAAGAGAGAGTATCGAAATTTGCTAATTGATTAACTCATGGATTTCAGATCTAGTCATATAGGGCATTGGTAAAACGCTCTTGGATCGGCGGTCCGTAATTGTAGTCTCCTTTCTCTTCAGGTCAGGATTGTCGAGAGTCCGGCGGTGATTATGACAGGAAGACTTCAAGAGAATGCTCAGAAAATAAAATGACTTGTAGTCATTGCACAGGGAATCACATGTTTAGAGATTGCCCTAATATTGGAGAGTTACCTGTATGCATCAATTGTAGTCATAATCACATGGAAAACCATTCGCACAATGCAAGAGACTCTTCATGTATAGTGTGTGAAAATGTACAGCGCGGACAGGAAAACACAGACACGTTTTACTAATTAAACAAGTTTAATTTCGTGCTAACATTAATATATATACAGAATAAGTTTGGATTCCCGCTGTTTACCTACATATGTTTCCAAAATCGCGAGCAATCAGATATGCCAATAGACCAGTAGTTACTTTTCTGATAACTACTTCCTGACAAATTATTTGTGCACGTAAACTTAAACTAAAAGATAGGAAAGGTAGAAGGGGAAGTAAGAAGAACTAAAGGACAGAGGGTACCCAATTTTTCTGTTGGTTCTCCACCGTTCCTCGTCTCGGCTTCTTTCTGCAGCTGTTCTCCTTTTAGAACAATTCGGGTCCGTTTTGGGGCTTCCTTTTCTATAGTCAATGATCGGATTCTTCTGCTGATCCGATTCTTATGGCCTCCTTCTGCAGCGCTTCCCGACTTTCCATTTCGGAGTCTACTGCCGTTCGTCCTTCTCTCTCAGAGTCCGGCCCAAGAATCCTTCTGGAATCTCTCCTTTCCCCCTCCAGCCTTGTTGCCATCTATTGTTCTAACTCTACCTCCTGATGGGTTAGGGGTGAGGCAAGTTCTGCAAAGTCCGAGACAAAGGAACAAAGAAATTGGAAGGAAGGAAAATTCTAGAATTTAAATTAAACTAAAACTATACAGATTAATAATAATAATAAAAATAAAAATAAACAGGCGTGTAGCCACAAGTGTATCAACGAGTCGAGGCAAATTTGATTAGTAGGACTGATTATGTGTCAGAATCATAGAAATGGCATTTCTGTTATGCAAATTAATCTTCATAGGAGTATTGCTGCAAGTTCTCTTTTAGCTAGCAAAATCCATAATTATGATTTAGTCCTAGTTCAAGAACCTTATTGCATACGAGATCAGCCTGCTTCCATCCCTGCTTATTGCTCTGTTATAAAAGGCACTAATTCCACTCCATGGGCGGTGACTATTGTTCCACATAATAATATACCTATTCTTCATTTGGCTTCTTATAGCTCTGAACATATGGTTTGCATTGAGACGTATATTGGTTATACGAAATACATTATTATTAATATTTACTGCCCAAGGCCTCAGAACATTAATGTAATTCTTACTGATCTCCAACAGATTATTGAATCCTACCCCTCTTGTAATTTTATCATTGCTGCAGATATAAATTCTCATTCTCCAGCATGGGGTGGAGACACTCTAGATCAGTGATTCTCAAACTTTTTCGATCCACCGCCCCCTTTGTTCCATAAAGTTATACCCAATGCCCCCTAACCCATTTTCTCTTGTGTGAGAAAAGGATTGGAAATATTCTTAGGAAAACTTTTCTATGAATCTCACACTTTGTGCCCTTACTGTACATTGTTCTCATCATCTGGAAACCATTAAACGCAATGTTTCCTCTTATCAGCCCCAATTTTGCCTTTGGTCACCGTTCAATACCCTGCCTCTATCATAGATCTATTCATCGCGCCAGAAGGGGGCGTTATTGCTTACTTTGAGAAACGCTGAGCTAAAATAAAAGTCAATGTGTTAGAAATATTCAAGTTGTGACCTTCAATAAAAAATAAAAAATATATAAAATGTCAACATTTTATATATATTCCGTCAAATTTTCATATATAGAATTTGTCTGCCATCGCCCCTCTATATTTCCTTAATGCCCCCCAATTCTCTTTGAGCCTTCCCACAAGGGGGCGTTATCGCCCACTTTGAGAAACGCTGCTCTAGATGGTAGAGGTGAAGTGTTTGAAGAGTTTCTTGCATTGAATTGTTTGTTTATTGTAAATGATCCTAACTCTCCTCCTACATTCAACAATGATAGATATTTCTCTTGGGTGGACATTACTATTTGCTCTAGTTGTTGTTTCTCCTCTATTGCTGATTGGCAGGTGTTGAACACGCATAACTTTTCTGATCATGAATATATTACTTTTACTGTCCGTAATCGTACTAATTGCTCACCCTTGGCCTATCGGGCACGATTTAATCCCTCTCATGCCAATTGGACTGAAATTGCTGAATATCTTCACTCCGTTGTTGATCTTCCTAAAACCAGAGAGGAGGCTGTGATTGCTATAGATCACTGCATTAGACACATTAACTCAGCTTGGGATATTTACATTCCTAAGACAATTCCCAAGCGTAAGCTAGTTCCCTGGTGGAATGAAGAACTTTCTACACTATGCAAAATTAATAATCACTTATGCCGAAAATACAAGCGTTGTCACAATCCTACAATAAGAGAAAGGAGGCGTGAAGAATACTTACAACACCAGTATATTTATAAAGATCGTATTCTCAATACTAAATTGCAGTCTTGGAAGGTTTTTTGTTCTAGCGCTTCGAATAACCCTTGTGGTTATCTTACTAAAATGTGTACAAGAAAACTAAAGAAGAATACTATCCTTACGACTTTTAACACTGATTCTACTACTTCTACATCCCTATACGATACTGTTGAAAAATTATTAGATACTTTTTGCGTAGATGATTCTGAGGTGGACAATTCTGCATGGCATCAGGATCTGCGTGCTGCTAGATCCCTTCCATACTCCTCTGCTAACTCCCCTTTACATACAATGAAGTAGATAAAACTTTCCGTGATTTAAAAATAGGCAGAGCGCCTGGCATTGATGGCCTGACAGTGAATATTGCAAAAATGCTCTTGAATATTATACCTCTCCTATTATTTAGACTTTATAACATGTTTGCAGTTCGGGGTTTTCCCTGAGTTGTGGAAAATGGTGTGAATAATCCCTAAACCAAAATCGTCTTCCTCTAATGATACAAGACCAATTTCTCTTTTGCTGATTCTTGGTAAAATTTTGGAGAAGTTGATGACTAATCGACTCTCATGGCACCTTGAATCTTCTTCCAAGCTAAATAATTTCCAATATGGTTTTAGACATCATAAATCTACTACTGATGCTATTGACATGGTGGTTGAAACTACACGACGCCTTTTAGAGACTAACACCTATGTTTTGGGCATTAGCTTGGATATTAGCAAAGCGTTTGATTCTGCCTGGTGGCCTTTGGTCCTTCACCAGCTTCGGATCTTTGATTGCTCC